GTTTGTTTTAACCATGTTTTAACAATCATGACATTCAGTTGGGGGGGGTTTTTTTCTGTTCTTTGGGTTGTTTTAACCTTTCTCATACAGGGGCGCAACGTTCTCCCTTCTCTTGGCCCCCGTGTCCCGTCCCCTCCTTTTCTTCCCCGTTTGCTCCCTCGGTGTGCGCGCCTGCCTGTTCCTTCTGCCTCCGCCCCCCCCTGTCTCCTGGTTGTCCTTTTCCCTCCCGGGGTTTCCCCTTGGCTCTGTGCCCTCCGTGTTCCCCCGTGGCCCGCGCAACCCCGTTTGCCCCTCCTTCCTCTTCCTGTTCCCCTCCCCGCCCTTCCCCCTGCTCGCCCCCTGGTCCCTCTTGCCCACTTGCCCCCCTGTCTTTTTTGTTTGTGGTGGTTTGCCGTCCTCTGTCGTCCCTGTTCCCCTGCCTGGGGCGGCCTTTTCCTCAGGCCCTCTCGCCCCCCGCTTCCCCTGCCCCCTGCTCGTGTTCCCTCTTCTCTTTCCCTTTTGTCTTCTTTCTTCTTGTCTTCTTTCTCTCCTGTGCCCTGTGGTTCCACGCGCCGCCCGTCTTTTCTCCTGCCTCCGTCGCCGCCTTCCCCCCTGTTTGTGGTGGGTCCTTCCGTCTGGCGCCCTCCCCGTCTGGGTGCTCTCCCTGCTGCCCGACCTGGCTCTTGTTCGTCCGCCTCCTGCCCCCTGGCCCCTGGACCTCCCCCCGCCTTCCCCCTCTCTGCCTGCCCTTTTTCCTTTTGTCCCCCTTGCCTTGCGGTTGACGGTTTCTGTTTTTTCTGCCCCTGTGTCGTCTTTTTCTCGTCTTTCAGCTCCCCGTCATTGGCTCTGCCGGGTCCGTGCGTCTGTCCCGGCACTCCTGTGCCTGCAGACCCCTCACCCCCCCATTCGTCCGCCTCTGCCGGCTCCTCTTCCTGTTTTCGCTCTCCCCCCGCTGGCTGCCTCACCTTTCCTCTTCTTCGTTTCCTGATCCATCCGTCTTTCTGTTTCCTGTTTTGGTCGTCCGTCCTTGCCTCTGTTGGGCGCCCTCCCAGCGCCTGTGGTGCTGTCGCTGCTCGTCTCCCCCCCTGTCCCGGTCCTCCAGGATGTTTGGGTCCGGTTTCAGCTGCTCCTCGTCCCTCCTTGTCCGGTCCTGCTTCCCCCCCTCTTCTTCCCCGCCCGGCCTCCCACGTCCTTCCCCCCCTGGGCCCTTCCCTGCTTGATTTCTGCATTTCTGATGCCCGGTTTGTCCCGCGTTGGCCTGCTCCATGTTCTCGCCTCTGTGTCTGTATCTGTCTCCCGTCTGGGGTGGACTCACTGTGAGGATAAAGTGGCAGTGGATTGGCCAAAGTTATCCCCTTTCTGTCAGAAGCTGACCAGAATAGTAGTGAGTTTGTGAACACATGATTGTGGAATAAACCAGTGTGAGTGTGGTTGGAGCCGAGGCCTGGTTATAGAGCCTTAAAGTCGTGTCCACTGCTCTGGCAGCCTCATCAGGTACAAGTGTTTGGGTCCTTCAGCGCAACTGTAGATTAGTTTCTCATCTATACCTGTCTTTCTGATAGCACAGCTGAATACTGGTCAACTTTCCTAGTTCAATAATGTCTTGTTAATGCCTGCTATACTGGATTTTTAACAATGTGGTTTAAAACCATTTGAGAATATTAATTTGCTCCACCTGTGATTTCCAGACTGGTGGAGGGATCCCCACCTAGATGAAGCCCCACAGGCTTCCAGTCTGAGAGACAGGAGGCCATTTTCCACCATCGTCGACCTCACGAGGTCAGTCAGTGATATATATGTCTCTTATATAAGCAATAAAAAAACAGATGTTTGATTTCCCAAATTATAATGCATTAACATTCCCATAGTACTAAAATACTCAAAGTACTCAAAATCACTTCCTCCAAGAGCTCTTGAGATTTATCACCGTAAATGGAAAAACACATCTTGGCAGCAGAGCTGTTGAAATTGCCAGCACCTGTTGGTCAATTAACCGCAACATGGATAACATCTTGGAGAAGTCTTGCGGCTTTGCAAAGGAGAATGAATTCGATTCTGCAGACCAGACTTGGACAAATAGAAGTAAATCGTGGTCTAGTTGAAATGCGACTACTCGCCCTAACCAAACATCATAATCTAATCTGCATTCCGGCCCCTCAGTCAGCACCGGCAAGGCCGCTGCAGGAACAACTCCTCCCAGGAGATGCGCAAGTGAAGCACGCTCCTTGCCGCCCCATCCTCTTCTTTTAACGGACACTGGCTGATATTATGATCTGGTTAGGACCCGTCAAGGGGCGACGTCTTCCATGCGGCAACCTGCGTGTTATCCGCCCATGACACCCCATGCCGTAACTGAGGACTGATCGGAAGAGGCTAGACCGAAGCCGACTCCTCCCCAGGCTTTTATGTGCACACCACACACTCATGGACCCACTTCGTACCACATGCGCATATGCACACACCCGTCTACTGGCTCTTTTTTTCCTCTGCCTCTCTCCTTGTTCTGCCCCCTTTCCTCCCCTCCCACCGTTTCAAAGTAATTTCCATTTGTACTTGTGACCAAGAACAATAAATTCTAATTCATTCAGATTTAAAAAAATCTAAATATTAAAAATAAAAATGGGACGAGAACTTCTATATATCTCAATAGTGTTTCCATGAGCCGCTCTGGCTTTAACATCAATTACTTGCCAGCCTCTGCAGTACTTTCTGATCACACTGCCTGCCTCATCAGTGCGGCAACCACCTTCACTGCGTGTTCCCTCACCTGATAAACCCCACGTCCCTTCCACTCGTCTTTGCCAGATTGTCTTTAGCACAGCAGCAAACAAGCCCTACGTATATTTTCCGGATTCGCAATCCTTTCGGTTCGACACCTGACTTGTCTGACCTCTAGTCGTCTCGCGCCCAGGTAAAGCCTGAACAGCTCTGTCCCTGACCCCTCTGCCTGCTTCCGCCCCTTGTCTGTCCTTCCAGTTTGTTTGGATTCCCTCCCCGAGGTCTCCTGCTAGAAAGTCTCTGCTGTTTGGCTAGCTCAGCGGTTTGGACTTTCTGCGTGTACTGCTGTGGATTTTACCAACCCCTGTATCTGCGAAACTAAACGTTTTAACTGTTTCAATGCGGTCCTCCAGTCTGTGCGTTTGGGTCAACCTCACGCCCCATTCACCGATGTAAATCTAAAGGAGTCTCCCCATAAGTGGACCACATGGTGGACTCCTAACCCCTTTCACTACTCAGCCGCCGAGCCTGGCTGCCAAGTCCCATTGATACACCAAATGATTGGTTTTTAAAAGCAAAACATTTAATATCGGAAGCTCTTTTGGCTGGTAAACTCTTCCGTGCTTTTTTCTGATGCGCCTTACTGCAGGGAAACACCACGTTTTAACTCCAAACTGAAGCAAGTCTTTCATCTTCTTGCAGACTTCCATCGAAACTGGAATATTGCTCTTCGCAATCGCCACTGGTCCCAACAATGCAGATCACAATTAGGCTTAGGAGAGAACATCAAGATGAGCCGGTCGGGCTTCAAACTAGGTGGACTTGTTCTCAACAACAGCCTGAATCGACCAGTGGAGGGAAATGCTAATATTCTCAATGTTTCCAAAACCACATGTTACAAAATCCAACAATAGAAGCATTAACAAGACATTATGAATAGCAACAGTGAAAGTACATTCAGTGTGCTATCAGAAGACAAGTCATAGATGCAAAAACTCAAACCTACCCGAGGCTGTTGAAGGCACGCCAAAAAACACCCCTTCCTGACACTCTCGACCTGATGAAGCTGCAGAGCAGCGAACGAAACTTTTTAAAGGGGAAACTTGCCAAGCTCTACCAATTTCTTCGCTGGTTTTATTTTTTCATCGCATGTTTTCCTCAACGAGTCCCCTGACAGTTGGGATGTAGTATTACCAAACACTTAGCTAAAAACAACTCAGCTTGGGCGGCCCCCTCCCTCCTAAAATTTCTACCGCTGGTGATTGCCTGTTTTTTTTAGGCCGCGGGCAATTTTTCGTGTGGAGCACATATCTACCAGCAGGTGGGTAATAATTATAACTAACCCGGTTATGAGGGCGGCGTGTGCGCTTTTAGGAATTGCCGCAAGCGTTGTCTTTCTCGCTCGCTTCTGCTTATCGCGGACTTCTATTTCCAATTATACCCCGGTTAACATGGTAGTCCCAAAGTTTCAAGGTTGTTTTCCGCCTTGGGGTCGGCCAAGAGGGGGGTGGAGGGTCACCCATTCACTTCACCCGGAAAGGCCATTTAACCATCCAAATGATTTCTAAACGGGTTTATAAGCTGAAAAAGTTGCCAGTTCCTTAAGGCTCTCAACACCAGGGCCTCGGCTTCAACCCACACTCACAACTGTTTGATCCAACTGGGAGAAAAAACATATTCAACATGCTCGTTTGTACTAAACACCTGTGAAAACAGACCTAAATATAAACGTAAACCCGGTAGAATAAAAATGCTACTTAAGGTCCAGTGTGTAACACAAGTTTTCAATAAACATCATGAAAAATAAGAATAGGTTGTTTCATTAGCCTTAGAATGACTCTTTCCTACTACGAGAGTAGTCCAGAATGGACAAACTAAGGCTCTGGACAGGTCTTTCCACGTTTTCTGTGACCGCCAGAAGTTTCTCCGTACACACCCTGAAAGGGTGAGGCCTCCTGTCTCTCAGACTGAGCTGTGGCTATCATCAAGGGTGGGATCCTCCACAGTCTGAAATCACAGTGGGCAGAAATGTAATAATTCTCAAATGGTTTAAACACATGTTAAAAACCAATACTAGCAAGGCATTAAACAACGACATTTATGAAAATAGGAAAGTTGACCAGTATTCAGCTGTGGCTATCAGGAAAGAAGCAAGCTATAGATGAGAAACAAATTACAGTGTGCCTGAAGGACCCAAACATTGCCTACCTGATGAAGCTGCAGAGCGGGACACGACTTTTAGGCTTAAACCAGGCCTCGGCTCCAAACCACACTCACACTGTTTTATTCCACAATCAATTGTTCACAAACTCACTCTATTCTGGTCAGCTTCTGACAGAAAGGGATAACTTTGGCCAACTCCACTGCCACTTTATCCTCACAGTTATTCCACCCCAGACTGGAGACAGAGACAGACACAGATGTATAACATTTAGATCAACGCTGACAAACCGTGCTTTAGAAATCAGAATCAATCATGTTAATGTCCCATATTGGCTAATTTACTTTGCTGCCTCTGGCGAATAATATTTGTTTTAATCATTTTTACTGACAATGTATTATATAATCAGCTGAACCTTACCCTACATCCTGTATGAGCGGACAGTGGGTGAGACTAGCAGCTACAGCACACAGCTCTGGAGTCCCAACAGAGGTCAGACTGACGGACCAAACAGGAAACAGAAAGACATTATTTATCATGAAACTAATAATCAGTAAATTTAGTCATCCATCAGGGTTTGGAGATTCCTAAAACAGTAAGAGGAGCTTCAGAGTCTTACTGAATCTTGGTGAGGTTCTTCATGCACATTATTGCTTTGGACAGACTCACTGACCCTTCATATCCAATACTGTTATCTGAAATACTAGAAAAAGACACACATGTGCATAAAAAACAGAAACCTAACCGCAAGTTTGACAAA